CCCTGAAGAAACTGAGAGGTAAGTTGGAAATGGCAAAAGTTCTCCTATATATGTATTTAAATGGAGTCCAAATATTTCCATATAACTAGGCATATACTTCAAATGACAAAATTCTCCTTCCTGCTCTTCTTCACACTCTAACTGTGATAACACTTCTTTGCTTTCTGCTTGCTCCTTCTTGGAATCCAAATTTGTTTTCCAAACATATTCTTATATGTATTTTATGTTGTATTCTTTAAGTTGTGAAGATCTTTATATGAATGAAGTGAATCCTGGGATTGAAATAACCAACCTGAGAGAAAGCAAAAAAAAGCTGAGTTCTTTTGTGCATAAAGGACCATGTGTATTCACATTCTCTCATTCACATTCTGAACAAGAACATACAGAGTTTCTACCCTATTCACCACTGCAGAAAGCTCAGCAGGTAAACAAGTTACATCCCTCTTCTTGGTTAGCCTAGAGACTAGTGCAATGAAGAAGAAGGAAAATGACCACTGTCAATTCAGTATATGATGGGATAAAATGCACTTTCTCCTTGTACTAGGATTGACCTTCATTAGGTACAAGAGTGCTTTCCAGAAGAAAATGGCTACTGAACAATAAAAAGGAAGCAGGAAGAGAGACTGTGAACAAAATCAATCTAGTCTACAATATTTCTTGATGCTTCATTGCAATCTGCTTCTACCTAAGGTGGAATAACCAGTACTGAGTTATGTTTCTAACTGAAGCCAATAAAAAACATCAAGCAAAATACGTTAAAGCATTTTCAAGACAATAGATTTTAGAGAATGATGTCAGTGAAAGTACTGCTAAAAAATTACAGACCGGTATCCTTGATAGACATTGAAGAAAATGTTCCCAGTGTCCAGCCCCCTGCTGTGAGAGGGGTACAGGCCAAGGCACAAGGAAAAGGGAGCTAGAAGTTCCCAAGATTCAGTGATGAAGAAAACAGGCTGAGGAAATCAAGGAAGATGAATCTCACTTGACAGAGCCCTGGAGAGTACTGAGATGAGAGTACAGGGGAAATCCAGAGGATTTACACAGGATTCCCTTGCATATTTAACAGAGCAGTGGACTCACAGTGTTCAGAAAAGGGCCTGGCATCGAGGTATAAAACACATGAAGAGATGACAGGAAACTACCTGTTGTTCACACACTGCAGGGAAGTGATGACCTTACAAAACAGAGGACATCAGAAATGTCCTGCTTCAGCAGTGCAGAATTAACCCTCAATAAACTCTGGCCTGAAATGTCTAACAATTTATACAATCAAGACAGAAAGAATCAACTTGATTATAAGTGACTTGTTTCCAAAAATAGGGCTCAAAAATCAAAATGCACAATAGAAATATGACAGAAATCATACAGAAGTTAATGAGCATAACTAAAGTTAACCCATGTGTTAACTACCCATGTTTTACCTGAGTAGTCCTACTTATAAGTGGTATGTTTTCCTTTGATATTTGGGATAAGTTAATAAAAGAAATCATATGCTGATGGATCTTGATGCCAGTACCTCATCCCTATAATCCTGGATACTCAGGGAGGCTCAGAGGATCTGGGTTTGTAGCTAGCTGAGGCAGGTAAATACAAGAGGCCCTTATCTTCAATGAACCAGCAAAAAGGCAGAAAGTACAGGCTTGACACAAGTGGTTTAGAATCAAACATAAGCAAGAAGCCAAGCAAGTGTTTGAGGCTTAGATTTCAAGCCTTAGTACACACACACACACACACACACACACACACACACACACACAGAGTGATCATATTAAGAGGTTAAAAAGTAAAGCCAAAAAATTATCCTCTCTAAAAAGAAAGCTGTAAGAGTAATGGTGATCTGAAGTCTTCTACATAAACTGTGGAAAGGCAGTTCACCAAAGAAGATATATAAACACAAACTGCCCCTGACAGAATAGCAAACAGCAGCAGTCATCTGTGATGCAGTCAAAGGACACTGATATGCAGGGCATGAAGCAGTTAGAATGCTAAAACGCACACAAAAAAAATCACACATTACAGTGTGCTTGTGAAAACAGAGAAAAGGAAGTTTCAGTAATGTTATTGGTAATGGCTAATGGCAATGAGAATTGACAGAACTTTTGGAAGTTTTCTAACTTTTATTTTTACATTTTCCCATTCCTCCCCACCCCCACTTGCTTTTGATGGAAATTCTCACTATGTAGTCCCAGTTGGTCTGGAACTTTAATCTTTAGCCATAGATATATTGGGATTACAAATATGTGTTGCCATGCCTGGCTTCTGGAAAAGTTCACATAAACAAAATAAAGGAGCACGAAGAGACATTTGAAAGTGATGTCTATTCACTTCTTTAGTGGCCATGATTAAACATGGCCATGATTAATACATAGGTGAAAACATTAAATTGTACATGCCATATTATGTGTAGTTCATCACACATCAATAACAGCTCAAAAATTAAAAGAAAACTAAAAGCTCTACTGCAAGAACCCCTCTTTAAGGTTACAAGAAGATACATGAGAAATCTAGAGAAGTGAGGTCTTTAACAATGTAGCAATGACAAATGGTAGCTGGATTTTTAACCAGTGCTTGAAGAGATCTGGTGTGCCCTAAATATGTGATTAGCATTTGCAGAGTTGACCATGCTCTCAAGATTTGAGGTGAATGTGAAAGGCATCTAAGGTTCCTGCAGTACTGTACAGGTCGATGCAGTGTGACCCTCTGTGATAATCAGAGAGCACAGAAAAGAAGCGGTCAGTAAAAAGACAAAGGAAGGATTCCCACTATGAATGAATGCAATGGGGGAATCATCTCTTTATGGCAGAATCTATAGCTCTCATTCTACTTTAACCTAACCCATATTTGTGACATAATGCAATTATAACACATTGCTATTCCATGACACAGTTGTAAGGGGTGGTCATGTAAGTAATCTAAAAGACCTTAGAAGCCAGGTGCTGCTTACTCACAATTGTAATCCTATTACTCAGTATTTGGAGACCTGAGGATCGCAGTTCAAAGACAGCCAAGGCAGGAAGAGCCTTAAGATTCTCATCCCCTATAAACTACTCAGAACAAAACAGTAATGAGGTTGTGGCAAAAGAAGCTCAGGGACAATGTTCAAGCCCTGAGTTCAAGCCCCAGGACTGGAAAAGAAAAGACCTTAGAGGGATTCAGTGGCCCTACCTTCACTCTCTATTCGATGTTTACTTTGCATGAAAATTGCTCATAATTATTCAATTCAAACTCTTCTGAGACTGATTCAGACAGCTGAGATAAGAGATTAGAGTCATCTGTTCCATGTATTTGGTGTGTGATCTATCAAATAAATAACAGTATTTCAAAATGTATATGTATTTCTGAAAATATATCCAATACCATATGTAAAATATACAAATGGATAATTATTTTTTTGGTTAAGCTAATCTTTAATAATGTGCAATTTTTATTTTTTTAGTAGTTGTACAAAGAAGTTACAATTCCATGAGTCAAGGCATGAGTATAATGCTTCTTGATCAATGTCACTTCTTCCATAGTTCTCCCCCACATCCTCCTCCCATCCTTTCTCTCAGGTTGGGTTAAAATGCATAATTTTTAAGAATTGGAATATTACTTGAATATTTCATTCCTCTAGTTCTATGAAACAGGGCCAGAAATATCTACATCCATGGAAACCTATTCATGGAACTCACATAATGATTGTTCAAATTAAGTATAATAGTTGGATATTTTATTCCTTTTAAAATTGAGATATCATTTCATATTCTATGCAGGTTTTATATTCTATACAAGCCTTAGATATCCTACTCACACATTTCTATAGTTTTGAGATAGCTAAATTAGTGTAACCAGTAAAAGACATGAGGGTCTTGCACCTGTGGCTGGTGCATCTATTTTCTACTCAGGAGGCTAAGATTGAGTACAGTCGTCCCTCACTGTATTGTGATTCACTTTTTTTTGGCTTCACTGTACCTCGGATTAAAAAAAAAACCCAAATAAAACATATAGTGATCCCTCACCTATCGTGAGAGTTATGTTCCAGATACCACCACAATAGGTGAGGGATCACTTGTATTGAGGTTTGAAGCTAGCTCTGGGAGTAAAGTTAGTGAGAAAAGTCTTATCTACAATTAACCAGCATAATGCTGGAAGTGAAGCTGTGACTCATGTGGTAGGATGCTAGCCTTGAAAAACAAAGCTTAGAGACATCAGCCAGGTCCTGAGTTTAAGCCACCAAAGAAAAAAAGAGAATAACAAACTCTATAACAAGCTGTATATTTGGGTTATTAACTACAAAGGATAGGTAAGGGAGAGAGGCTCCTTGCCAATGTGAATTCCAATGATGATTTGTTAACCAAAGCCTTGAAATTAATAGGGTCTACAGTAAAATTACATAAAAATGTTCAATGTAATATGAAATGCTTGAGGATGTACTTATACAATTGTTAGACTCTTACATTCTGAATTTACTGGAGTATACAAAACCTTGTGAGATTTTTATTCATGATTTTTATATATGGATATATATATGGATATGTATAGCATCTATATATGTATATGTGTATACGTATACACATATAGATATGTATATAGATATGTATATATACACATATATACACACATATAATTACATATGGAAAAATATAATTATACATAAGTATTTTTTGTGCTGGTCTTAGGGCTTGACTTTAGGGCCTGAGCACTACCTCTGATCTCCTTTCAAGCTCAAGTAAAGCACTCTACCACTTTCAGCCACAGATCCACCTCCAGCGTTTTTCGTCGTTATTGGAGATCAAATGTCACAGATTTTCCTGCTCAGGCTGGCTTTTAGCTGGATCCTCAGATTTCAGCCCTTTGGGTGGCTGGAATTGCAGGTGTGAGCCACTTGTGCCTGGCTTTCCCCTCATAGATGACATGAAATTTATGTAATCACTTAATCTCAATAAAAATCATTTAAAAAAGTCAACATGTCAAGGGCAGGAGGCAAGGGCTTTTGGATGATGAATATTTGCTTCGTGGTCTCAGACGGCACATGTGAAGTGCTCAGCATCGGCAGTGGTGTGGATGTGGCCCTCACCGATCAGATGCTTGATGGCTTGCTGGAGATTCTCAGCGGTCAGGCTGGGAAGCTCTCTCTGCAGATCGCTGAAACTCTTGCCCTCCATGAGAGTGCACTTGTGAATCAAATGTAGCACCTCCTCCACGTGGGTGGACTCGCGAGGAGACTTTAGAATGCCACTGTTCTCATGGCTGCTTCCCTCCTGGCTGCTCTCATTGCTGCTGCACTCCTGGTCGCTGCTCTGGTTGCCGCTGCTGTCCTCATCGCTCTCGCGGCCGCTGGCCTCATTCCGGCCACCGGTGGCGCTCGCCATGGCTGGCTCCGTCTCGGACGCAATCCTCTGCCCAATATAGACTGGGTAGGATTTTCCCAGAATCATATGTGCATTCACCGTCTCCACAATATGGATGGTGAGCTCATTCATGTTTTTCAGCGGGTGGATGCACGCGATCTTTAGAATATTGGCTCCACCCGAACACTGGAGGACACCGAACGCCTTCACGTAGGCCCCGACCGTCACCAACTGCGTACCGTTCTCCTCATCAACATCCTCAAGGGCACCAATCGGCTGCGAGGTCATATCGTCAATCTTATAGCGAATGAATTTTGAAGTGACCTCGATCTTCTTGACAACTCCAGTCACCGAGACGCGGCCAACTTCGTGCCCGTTAAGGGTGAACACATTGTTCACCATCATGGAGGACAGAAGCTGGTTCACGCTACAAGGTAGGATGTCGGGGACACACTGCCGGACGGCCTTCCGCAGGCGGTGGACTCGGCCTCCCGCCCGGGGCTGTGTGTGCCCTTCGCTAGCCCCAACGGCACCGGACGTGCTGGCAGCGCTGCCATACCTACTCGTTTCCATCTTGAGAACAGCTTCAGCAGATGGGGGACCCAAGACCTACGGGGCTCCGGCGGCCTCTCCGCACACAGCTTCCACTCGCAGCAGCCGCAGCCGCTATGGCGCTCGGGCTCACGCTCGGAGCTCAGCCGCTTCTGGTTTCAAGCCTATCTCGCGATACTTGGAGAACCAATCACCAGAGTTCAGAAGCCTCAAGCGAATCCGGGCTTGACACAACTCCACCAGGACACCATACTTGGCGGGGTGACACTTGTTGCTAGGCAGACTTCTTAAAGTGACACACATGATTTCAAGCATTTTTCGTGATCTTCATAAGATTCGTTAGTACTACTAAAAAAATGTGTCCAAATGATTTCTGGTTCTGTTTTTGTATTTAATGTATCTTCCTATATATAGCACAAATTGCTTTCAGATTTGCCTAGTGGCTCAAGTTGATCTAGAAATCATCATCTTGCTACCTCGTCTCCCTATTGGTGTGATTATACACGCGCCACCACAGCCACTTGATAGCTGCTGCTGCTGCTGCTTTTTTTTTTTTTTTCTGGTCTTAAGGCTTGCACTCAGGTACTAGGACAGCGCCCAATACCTGAGGGCCCCCTTGAGCCACAGCTCCACTTCCAGCTTTTTCTGTGTTTACTTGGAGAAAAGAATCATGTGGACGTTTCTGCCCAGACTGGCTTTGAACTGTGATCCTCAGATTTCAACCCCCTGCGAAGTTAGGATTATAGGCATGACCCACTAGTGCACGGCTGATTGTTCCATCTTTAACCATTCATTTAATAACTACTTCCGTTGATTGACAGAAATTTTTGGCCAAAGTGTTCATCAGTACTTTACAGTTCTGTTGGTTGTGGTGTAGCAGGGTTAGGACTACACTCTCAAAGCACTAACATGGCAAATAATACTCCCAAAGAACTCACATCCTTGCTCAAAATATTAACTTTGGAGGCATTCTGGTAGAAATGGTAGGATTTTTACTTTATTTATTTATTTTTGTACATTTATTGTAAAAATGTTGTACAGAGGGCTTACAGTTACATGAGGAATGTAATGAATACATTTCCTATTGAGCATTGTTGCCTCCTCCTTTGTTTTCCTCCTACCATCCCTTCTCTACCACCTCCACAACTACCCCACACCCCCCAGTTGTAAGGTTCATTTTCAACATAGTGTTTTGAACTTCTAATTGTCACAATGGTTTAACCTGTATCCTTATTTAAGCATTTTGTTTTTTCCCTTCCCCTCCACAAATTAGAGAAATATACAAGATACAGGGCACTGACATCAAATACAGTAAAAACAGGGATTATACCGTGGGGGAGGAACATACAAAAATAACACGATACATTATAAATGCCTTAGAAACAATAACAAGAAAGAAAAAAAAAGATATTTGTGTCCCTATCTTGGGGTTCATTTAATTTAGCATTATCTTATATGGTCATATGTACATAGCTTTTGACCTTTTCTGCTTGTTCTACACATGTACTAGTTATTGCAAATAAGAGAAACTATGGGACCTATGCTTCTTTGGGCCTGGCTTACTTCACTTAATATAATTTTTTCCAAGTCTTTCCATTTCCTAACAAATGGGATGATGTCATTTTTTTCTGATGGAGGCATAGAATTCCAT